ATTTGATTGACGGCTGAGTGTCCGCGAAGAAGTAGTGCCCGAATCGTTTCGGTGAGGTTCAGCTAGGGGTCTCTGTATGCTAGCCATTCCTGCCCCTTGCGGATCTCACCCAATTCCAGGATGGTGCAGAAATCCGAGCCGAGCCCTGGGGCAATCGACGGCTTGTCGACTTTGGCCCTGGAGTGGGTGAGCAGTATGTACATCTTCTGGATGAGCCGGAGGTGAAGCGGATGTCTGGCGTAGATGTTGCAGCCTTGCCCCATGCAGTCCATGACTTCAGGGAGCATTCTACGCAACAAAGTGAGTGTGGTGAGCTTTGAGTCGATGTATGAGCTTGAATGTTTTGACTGGCCCGAGGAAACCTGTCGTTGTTAGTCAAGGCGTGAAGTGCACTAAAAGACGCAGCGATTCGGCAGGTGTACACCTGCCACGAGTGCCTGGGCATCCCGACGATTTCCTCTAGCTTTGGCACTGCTCCAGATGTGTGGAACTGGATGTTCGGAGCGGTGCGGGTTTTGCCGCCCTCAGTGCTGGGGATTCTGGGCATGCAGCATGTTTCGCTTTTTGTTTTTCTCTTCGACTGCTTTTTGATTCATGTTTACTGGCGTTTGCTTTCCTTGAGAACGGTCTTATATGCATTCCCATTCCCATTTTTCGGCTCTTTCTTTCGAGACTTGCAAATCCCTCCTGTTTTCAGGAACCGGGGCCTCATGCAGGCCGTGGCCAACTTCTCCATGCCCATCATCTCGGCGGTGGACCGCCTGGTGGGATCCAAGAACGCCATGCGCCTGGACGCCAGCAGCGGAGAGCAGCGCCTCACGCTGCGGGTGAGCCACGCGGACCTGGAGGACTGCGTGGGGCTGGCCACCGCAGCCTTCGGCCTGGAGGTGCTGCAGCAAAAGGCGGGCTGCGAGCCTCGGGGTCGCCCTTCGAGCGTGAGGCCGCCTTTTTTTGGGGGTGGGGCTTTTTCGGGGGAAACCATGGGAAGGACGAGTGTTTTGGGGCTTTTCAAGGGGTTATGCGAGAAGACCAGGAATCCAAGGCCCGGGTTGATATCCATCGGCCCTTTTGCGGGACCAGTTTAATTCTTCCCGGCCTGGCTGGTTACGTTCGCTCAGTGAGTGAGACGAGGCGGCCGCAAATGGGTCCGAGTTCGAAGCGGCACAGGTGCCGCCAGGCGTGTGGTTCCCTGCGGAGATGAGCGCCAATCGAGCCAGCATCTTCCGGCGTGTCAGGCATGGCAGCATCCTGTGGGAGATGTGACCTTAGTTTGGGGATGTCTCAGTGGTGGTTTCCTTTGGAAACCAACTTGGGGGCCACCTTTGGGACAAACCGGTGTGAGCCGCGAGCAAATAGGGCCCGCTGGAAACCTAGCGCAAGAGAGTCTTCAATTCATGCCGCGCGTTTGGTGAAAGGAATCCCTGGCGCAACAGCCCGAAGCCATTTTTTTTTAATCCCGGCCCGGGCCGGCTTCGGCAGGCTTGAAAGTAAGTTCAACACAGATCACGGGTCAAGCTCTGCAGCGAGAAGCCAGGCACATTGAATTTGGGGGAGCAAAGCAAACAGCTCTTTGCCAAGCTGCAAGAATCTTTTACTTTGCGTTACACAGCTTCGCCATGGAGGCATTCCTTGCAGCCAGGCGGGAGAGATCTGGTAGCCGGTAGGTGCTGACACTCGGCTCTTGACATGCTCCAGGCCTGTGCTGAGCTCGATCCCACAGGCCAGCGGCGACGCGAGCATACATGTGCCAGGGTCAAAATCAGAAATGCTTCTTTCAGGCACTACAAGTTGCATACATTGGCTCACTTCGGCCGTTGCCTCGTCAATTCCAATTCCTGGGATTTGACACGTCCCATTTGTCGATGTGTCATCAATTCCTGGGATTGCGATTTCAACATCTCGGATTCATGAGGCTTCCACGATACAATCGGGCCTTAGATGTTGCCTGTTTTTAGCAATCGGGTAGGCAAAAGTGTCGGCCACAGCATGGACCTTTCAAAATCCAGTCTTACTGCTTGGAGAGGGACGTCTTGCGTGGGGGGGCGGTTGTCTTTTTTGTTATTGTTGCAGCCAAACCTTGCGGGCCCCTTCAAAGTGTTAAGGGGGATGTCATCGCCCCCTGAAGCAACATTGTAGCCTGTCCGGAAGCATATCAAGGAGCCATCACCACGCCCCCCCACCCCCCCACTCCTCCAAAAGAAAATGGCGGTTTTGCCAGTGCGCAGCGCACAGTACCAAGAGGGAAGCCCTCGCGCAATTTTTAAGTACCTTTCTGGTTTGACTTTGAGGAGCTTGTGCCTTTGGGGCTGGCACAAGCCAGCGTGGAGCTTTTTTGCAAAGTGTCGGAAGAGAAGGATTGCAAGCATATGTACAGAGACAGGCTTGTTGGGCATTTTCAGGGAGTCAAAGCGAAGCAACACTCAGATGCCTGTGATACAAGGGCTTTACAAGCTCCAGTTCTTCGCATTTCTGGCATGCGGGTTAGCCACCTGGCTCATACATTGCACACTTCGCAGGAGCCACTAATTTGGAGCAGAAGCCTTTCTGCGAAAGTGCACATATGAACAGCCTCCAACAGGCTCCAACAGCCGTGGCAAGCTCATGTTCGATTTCCCCCTAGAAATCCCGCGCCGCGCAAGAGCGCCTCAAACTTTTTTTTGGGCGCCTGGCCCGAAATTTCCCCCGCCATGGCCGCGCCGATCTTCTCCGCGTCGCATGCCGCGAAGCAGGGCTCCAGGGAGGTGCGGCGGATCCTGCGGGCCCGGAGCCACTTGGCGTGCCTGGACTTCGACGAGGCGCCGGAGCCCGCGGAGCTGAAGAAGAGCTACCGGCGCCTGTCGCTGCTGGTACACCCGGATAAGTGCCAGGAGACGGATGCCAAGGCCATGGAGATATGGAGCTTCTTCCTTCTTTCTTTGGAGTCTCACAATATGTATGTATGTATATATATATATATAGGGGTCCCCTGGTTTCCTTTTGGTTTCCCTGTAGATACCAACTGAAAGGGCAGACCCCGCCCCCCCATTTCTCCTTCCTGCTTTTTACATGGAAGTCCATGGCTCACATTTGTGCTCGAACAGCAGTCTTCACAACATGGGGGAAAAACACAGCCTGCTCGAACACCAGGTCTTACTACATGGAAAAAACAACATCCTTTTCAGCAGACCTCAGAGGGAAACCGAGGGGGAACATATTCTGCGCAGACGCAGGCGGCGTTTCAGAAGCTCAGCGAGGCCTTTGAGGCGCTCAGGGAGTCTGCTTCAGACGAGCGCCCTGCGAAGAGGCAAAATACGTCGACGCGCTGGTGGGACACCACTTGGGAGGAGGGGATGTGAGTGGCATATGCACGACCTCCTTCTCAACTGGTCCCCTTTTTTCCCCTCATCTTTTTTCCTCATATTTTTTTCCGTTTTTCCTTGCTGTGAGCTTCATCTCAACTTTTTTTGCCAAGTTGCCCGGAGGAGTTTGAGAGGCGCTTTCGGCATCGCGAAAAAGGGGAGGCAGCGAGGGAGGCCGAGTTCGACCGCGGAGTGACGCTCAACTCATAGCACATGCAGTGCAGTTGCATCCCGTGCCCAGAGCCACCGATTTCTTTTTTCGCTTTGCCTTGGTGGCTCCCAGCCATCCCCAAAGGCCTTTTTGGCCTCTTAGTGTCTGGCAGTTCCCATTTCACCCACGAAAAGGTAAACCAGCGGCGGATCTGAGCTTTGGATCCCCCGTTTTCCGAGGAAGGCCCAGCAGTCATTGCTGCGGCTGCAGGAGCGGGTCGCTTCCGCCGAGAAGGTCGTGGAGAACTTGGATCGCCGCACGGGCCTTGGGAGCAGCAGCCTGTGGCCGCGACGACCGGAGCAGGAGCGTCCGCCCATCGAAGGGGTCGTTTCTCCATGTGCCCCCCATCTCAATCCGTCAAGGCCGTTTTTCTGTTCCGGGCCCCACAGCAAAGCCCTGCAAAGCTAGGGGAACCAGGACCACTTCTCGCAATATGGTTGTATGAGGTTTGGACCGTGGGCCACATCAGTCACCGTGCTTGAGTTACACAAGTTTTGAGCAGATGGACTGCCAGGATGCACAGGCAGCGGAAGCACGGCTTCGACAACTGCTGACGCACTTGCGCACGCGCCATAGGTACTGCCTCTACTGCGGTCGCAATTTTGACTCTCCCACGGACCTCTTGAAGAACTGCCCTGGTTTCAGTCAAGAGGAGCATGAGCGCTCTAAAGGGGCCCGAGATGCCAAAAAACCGGAGACCCGCGAAGTCATGAAGTGCGAAGACGACCCGTTGGATGAATTCATGTTTGGGATGGAGGATCAACTGACGAAAGACATGAAAAAGAGCGTGAAGTCCATGAAGACTCGACATATGCCGCAGAAAGGATGGTCGTTCCAGCAGCAGGCGCAACAGAACAAGATGGAGGCAAAGCGCCGGGGGGGGCGATAGATCGAGGCAGTCTGCAGCAATGGTGAAGATGATCTTAGGCTGCACTAGACGAAGTAGGGCAGAGCGCGGCGCAGAGCTCCAGCCTGTGCCACGAGTTTGGGCCCGGATAGAGGATTGACATCTGGGTGAGAGGCTTCCAGCAGAAAAGAAAAAAAAGAGGAGCCAACCTGTTTCTGGCTGAGCACCAGAAGCATTCAGCCGAATGCTCTTGGCTCTTGGTCCGCCAGGAAAGGCACCGCCAGGTCCCGCGCCGGTGCCTCGGGTGCGGCGGGCGCCTCGGATTCGGAGGTTTCTGAACACGCGTCGTCGTCTCGAGATCGTGTTACCAACGCCAGTGTCTGGGTTACATCAGTTACATCAGTTACATCAGTTACATCAGTTACATCAGTTACATTTACTAAGTGTTCCAAAACCATGCACAGTCCTGACCGGCGTGGGGGACTGTCGGAACTGCGCATCCAGCTACTGGATGGATGCAAGGCGGAAATGGATGCAGTTGCAGTCAGGTTTGGCGCCGCCGGCGGCAGGCACGCGGCGACGGAGCTTCAAGATGAGCCACCCTGGTTATTTGGCCAATCGGAATGTGACACGGCGAACAAGTTCCAATGGACGACAGTGAATCCAGGAAGCTCGTTTGCATGTGAGAGCTCACGCCAGTTGCTGGCATATGTGCCTCAGCAGGCAGGAGAGTGTCGGTTGATGGTTTCTGATGTCCGGTCGAAGCTATTTGGTTGCTTGACCCGATCTGGTCTGCCTAGGCTTGTCAGACAGCGTTTGGCAAGGTTGTAGGCATGCCGGACCAACAGAGCCAGTTTCCGAGTTTGCACCCCAAAGAAGTCCACTAATGGCATTGTGCGCATCACTCCTGAAGTCGAATGTATCGGACACGTGGAAATGCGTAAACATGAAGTGCCTTGGAACCACCAAACTTTAGAGCCTCCGGCTCAGTCCGCCGACATTGTCCTCTCCCTTTTCTCCTTCTTCCTCTCTCCCTTGTCTCCCTCGTGTGTTCTGTCGTCCTCTGTCCCTCCCTTTGCTCCCCATCCTCCCCATTCCCCCCAAGCCTCTCTCTCCTGAGTCTCCCTCTCTCTCTCTCTCTTTCTCTGTCTCTCTCTTTCTCTCTCTCTCTCTGTCTGTCTCTTTCTCTGTCTCTTTCTCTGACTCTGGCTCTGTCTCTGTCTCGCTCTGTCTCTCTTTCTCGCTCTCTGTGTCTCTCTCTCTCTCTCTCTCTCTCTCCCTCTCTCTCTCTCTCTCTCTCTCTGTCTCTCTCTCTCTCTCTCTCTCTCTCTCTCTTTCTCTCTCTCTTTGTCTGCATTGCAGCGTCACGTCCCCCCTGAGTTGCCTCGATATCCCGGCACTGCCCCTTCATGACCCGAACTGTCATCTCACTTCTGGCTTTCTCTTTGATTTCCCCTTCATGTCCTTTTCACGTTTCCCGTGATGTCCTGGTCATGTCCCTTCCATTCCTTTCAACTCCCCCTTCATGTCCCTGACAATTTCTCGGTATGTCCGTGTCATTGTCCATGTATGTCCCGTTCTGTCGTTGCGAGTCATTTCCCTACATCTCCCGTCGTGCTGATTGGTTTCATTGCGCTTTGTTTCCCTGTCATTTCCCCTGCACTCCCCTCGTTTTCATTTCTGTCCCTGTCATGTCCCTTTCAGTTCCCCTTTGTTCCCTTTCATTTCCCGTTGCTTTCCTGACATGTGGACTTCCTATTTCCTCCCCTCATTTCCTTGCACTTCCTTGCATTTCCCCTTTGCTTTCCAGTATTTCCCGCAAAACAAAACACTGTTTTTCCAGCGTTTTCGCAAAGAGGACGTCCAAAAACACAAAGTTTTTCTAGATTTTTCCTTGCACTTCCTTGCATTTCCCCTTGGCTCCCCAGTATTTCCCGCAAAACAAAACACTGTTTTTCCAGCGTTTTCGCAAAGAGGACATCCAAAAACACAGAGTTTTTCCAGATTTTCTGCAAAAGCAAGCAGGAAACCCAAACCAGCAAAAAGCCGGCAGGGGGAATCAAGCCTGGGACCCCTGTTTTGCGACACCGGCTCCCCGAAGGTCATCAAATCCCCACGTATCAGACGTCGGGCGGGGGGGGGTTAGGGGGGGGGTTATCCTCTATCCTGTCTAGGTGTCCGACACGCCGAGCAATGTCGGCGGATTTGACTGGTGGTTCTTTTGGACTGTTTCAACTACGCAATCGTCAAGCTGAGCCGTTGTTTGCAGGTTCCTATCGGCGACGTCGCTGGGTTCCGAGGACTTCAAGGCGGGCTAGCTTTGGGTTGAAGCAGCGACGGAAGTCAACACAGACTCAAATGCATGTGTGTATTTTTATATATACAAACAGGTGTAGCTGCAGCAGACGCGGACACAGACGCAGATGTAGATGGCAGTGTGCTCCAAAAAGGTTGCGGGCTGTGAGATAACCTGGAGGCGAAAGCTGCGTCACACGTGTTTTCCCCTGGCTTTTCTGCAATTTGTCATCTCTGGCGTAAACATTGTCAAATACCCACTGTTTTTTTGGCATACTTGCAGTTCAATTGCTCGAACATCTGAATCAACAAACTGCGGCCAACACGCCGCAGAAATCACTCTCGAAGCTGACACTTAAAAAAGACCGGATGCATGTAGTGAAACACCTTAGAGTGCAGCTGAGTTGGTATGTGTATGTATTATATTATATATATATATGTATATGTATATACATATATGTATATATCGTCTTGCAATGAAACCATTTGTCTATACAGTCAGTCCCCATTATGAAACAAGCGGGTTGTTTGCGTGCTCCCCTCATTACAGAGCATGGTGGCTCTCCAGACACTTTTTGCCAGCATTTGCAGCCGACATTGGTCATGCGTCAACCTGTGTGCACTCATGTGTGTTCGTGCGCGTGCAAGCCTTTCATAACGACAGTAGCATGCCCCACCCCCAGCCCTGCTCACAACTGCAACTGGACACATCACAGCCTAACAGAAACAGCAAGACAAGCACCAAAAGTACCAGGTTTTTTACCACCCTGTTTCCTCCAAAAAATAAGCCCCAAAGTTTCTTGTGGCCG